AAAAATTTTAAAAATCCTGAATGTGCAAATGATGAATTCGTATGATCCCTATAACCAAGTCCATGAACAATTCTAATGGCCCTTTTCTGTAGTTTAAATAATGACCATAATGCGCTTTTGTATGTATTTCCCCAACACTCAACACAATAGTCCAAATAAGGTACAAACATAGAACAGTAAAGAGTATGGAGTGACTTCTGATCCACAATATTTTTAACTCTTGCCAATATAGATATACTTTTAGCCAATTTATTATGTATATATTTAATATGAGGTTTCCAACAGATTTTATCATCAATATTTATGCCTAGAAATTTTGTTTCGTAAACTCTTTCTATATTGGCATCCCCCACCCTTACTTGAATCTGACGATATTGTCAACTACCTGTAAAACTGCGGTACAATAGTCTAAACATGATCAAACTATCTCAGCACTCAGAAAGCTGATTGCAAGTTGACTGATGTGTTTGTGTCTGCAAACATTTGCAGTAGAGCCCTTTCTCAACCAGGACAAACACAGGTGCCTTTTTATTTTTCTAAATTGTCAAGTACATTTCTTTGTTTTTGTGTTTGCATATGAACCCAAGACGTGACATTAACTGATACAAACAAACAACTTGCCCAGTACCCAAAGGTTCTGGAAAAACAACCCTTTTTGTGTTGTAGTTCTTAGACATTCAGAAACTGTATTTAGTTCCTTTAATCCAGCTGTTGGAAAAACACTGAACTGGCTCTTTACTTTTTGCAACATTTGACTCATTTTTGTGAATTTCAGCTGACAAATGAATGGAAACACTGTGCAAATATTTGAAAAGGGCTGGACTTCTATTTTGAAGAAAACAGTACAAGAACATAACACACAGCAACACTAATCTCTGACCGAAGACATCAACAGACCATCTCTTTCACACATGAACCCTGACATGGCGCAGCAGAACTTTCCATCACTCACATCTGTGTCACCATTATCTAAATGACATTAAAGAAAAGCAGAAAGAGGGAAGAAAGAAGGAAACGCTGAGTGAGAAGGAAGCAGAATTCAAGCAGAGGAACAGAGATGGAGAAGAGTTTCAGCACAGTGACCAGTGTCTAATTAAAGAAAATGTCACAGTCATGTTAGAATTCCCACTAACAACACATGGAACTCTCCTTCCCCTTTAATCACAATATACCACATGCATGATAAAGGTTTTATCTGTTTATGCTCATCTCATTTAGTTAAAATATTTGAAACTAATAACAATAAACAAAGTGGTGAAAGTATCATAAATGCTACTGTGATCCTGTCAGAGCGATTACACGTCTCATTGTTTCCTCAAGGGATCAAAAGAGCAGTTAAACATCTGTGACCATCCCGCTGTGACTGTGACGCCATCAACAGCAGTATGGCCATGACATCACTGACGAAGACTGTATCTGTGTTCATAACACACACACATGTTAACAGCTCCCTTTGAGCATTGTTCTCAAACAGCTTGTCACGGGCCAGACACATACTACAACTATGATGTCATCACTCTGAGACAGAACATATGGATTGAAGCATTTTCTGTTCTGGCTTCTGCTTCCTCACTCTCTCACTTGCAAACACTTTCACATACACGTTCACACATACGTTCACAGATGTCACACAGATAATTTATAACATCTTCATGCTTGCTGTGAAGCCAGAAAAACAGATGTTGATTGTTTAATTGCTTGCAAATGACACAGACTATATTTAAACTGTATCCAGGCTGATGGTGACAAACCAACTCACATAGACAAAACCCAAACAGATACTAGAGCCAAAGAGACAGACGTGTGATTATGCAGAGAAGCAGTCATAAGCTGTGAGTGTTCACCTGAGGTATACAGTTTTAACTTAGCACTGTTTAGTTATGCCACCATTCCACTGCTACCAGAAACTGCTACCCATCCTCAGGCCAGCTGGCCAGCTGCCCTGCTGCCGGCCCAGGCTGCCAGTATCCACCACCGTCTATGTTCTTTGTGACCGAAACAGACGTCAGCAGTAGGTGCACAACAGAGCAAACTGTGACTTTGTTCTGAACAGGGTCATACTGTATACAGGTTCACACGTTTCATCATGGTTTCAGCACAGGCACAGTCTGATTGCAAGACAAGTGGAATGCAAACCAGCATGGGACGATTCCTGGTGGGAGTGCAATGGCAGCTTTAGTGGTTCAAGTCATGTGACTGTCTACACTGTAGAGGGGCAAAGTTGTGGATGAAAGGAGGAGGCACATGAAGCCTGCCAGTGAAGACTTGGGGTGAAGGCACATTTTGTCCAAGCCTCACACACAGTATACAGAGTGAGTAAGTTTCGTGGATTTTATTGGGATGTAAAATAAAGCAGAGCAACAGAGACAGAAAAAAATCAGAATGGGCCTAAAATAGACACACACAGCTGGCAGGACAGGTAGAGATACAAACACAGACTGAGACAGCAGACAACACACATTCTCAGCTCAAAACACTGCGCTCACCTACATGCCCACTTCCTGGCTCAACTGATGGTTATTCAATTACTGCAAACTAGCTATTATGTTGGGGCAGATTTGTGTATGTGCTGGTTACACATGGCTGGCACAGATAAAATGCTCATAGTTTTCTAACGCCTGCTCATATGACAGCTCATATAACCTTCTTCTCACCCCTCAGCTCCTCCTTTCAACCATCATTCATTCACTTACATCATCCCTCCTTTTCTTCATTTGTCAGAAAGGACAGATTTCGACCACTGTAGAACATTAAAATTTTTTACAGTGCTTTTGGATCAGTGGCTATGCATCAATACAATGTAGCCAGAGTTTTGTGGGCGTTATTATTGTGGAACCTGCTTTTCTAAATGACACAGTAGAGCTAGTTTGAAAATTGGGCTGAGATTTTACTCCATTCAAACTGGAACACAAGCAAGAAAAATATACACGGTGGGGTAATGACATAGCCAGTCTGTGTCTGGCTAAGACATACAACTAGTGATATAAAAGAGGGAAATGGGTGGTGGCAGCTGGTGATATGATTAGGGGGAAAACTTCTAGGCTTTTGAATCGTTGCAGCAAGTTGAGTTGAGAGGTACTGATACACCCAGTGGGAATTCTCATGACTGGACAGCTGGACATTTTGAGAAGTAGTTTAGACTGAAGAGTTGAGTGTAAATAAAGAACAACCAATATGAGACATTTATCTCGCCTCCTGCAATTTTCCTGCTCCAGTGCCATCACTAGCTAGTGGTTTTCTGTTAGAGCAAGGAGAACCAATATTAGGGTTGTTTCACAGATGCAATAAACACTGAGTTCAAGTGAGTGAAAGGAAACATTGTTTTTTGTTACCAAAGCTTTAAAAAAAAAGCTTGTCCAAAACTACATTGACTTTTGAAATAATTTAAATGAATAAAATTTCAGCCCTGAGACAGAACAGTGCTCAACTGTATGTTTGGTGGTTCACCTCAGTCTAGATATGAATGTAAAATTTTGTTTTGATGTAATATTGTTGTTCATTAAATATTTTAGGTTTAGGCAGCATTTAACAAAAACCATTTCTCACAGGCTTGCCAGTTTAGTGGACGGTATAGCGGGAGTGGCAGATGCTGTGCTAGAGATACAAAAATCACGGGAGCTCCATTTTTTATGAGTTACATATGTTCATATTTACTTAGGAGTCACAGAGGGGTTTTGTGGCGGAGAAACAAGAAATGCGGCATCACAGGAATTTGGTCTCATGCGATAGTTAATTTTATATGTTCCCGTTCAAGGATGCAATAATAAGGGAGCAGAGAATGGAAATTTATACAAATACCCTCAGCGCCTGATTTACCACCAAAGCTGTGACTGAAATTTAACGTCAGGAGAAAGCAGGCGTAAAACCTGAGGCCCTACTCTCAAGCGTGGCAGCTGTTAGTTGTCGGAGATCTCTTGTTAAAAACATGTTTGAGGAAGATGTTTGTAAATCACATCGCTTGCCAGAGGAGAATGTGAGGGACTTTTACAGGCTTTCAGGTCAAATCTTGCTTCAATTACTGAACAAAATAAAAGATGATGTGACTGGCAGGAGACCACATGACTGAAGCCCTGAAATGCATTTGTTGATTACTTCAATCACATTAAAGTTCAGTTGGTGTAAACGTCTTCTGTGCTTCCTCTTGGTCCACACATGCGCAACAGCCTTCAGGCAGCAAATCCAAAGCAGAGGTGTATTCAAATTAACACAGCTGTTGGTAAATACGATGCTAAATAAAACACTGCTGTGCTGCAATATTTTCCACACCTGATGGTAATTTGTGACGGGTTTAGTTAAATATCCCCCAAATGACTGCAATTCCAATTCCAATTTAGATTGCTTTTACATAATCATCTTTTACTGTATCTTAAAATGAGGACAGTAAACCCCAGAACCATCTGTACACTGCACCCAACTCCCAGAAATTTTAATATCAGAGCAGTAACATTTCTAACTAATAAAGGTCTTCCTCAGGCATTGTCTAAATGACACCAATATGTCCAGTGAACCCTAAATAATTAAAAGAAACTAAAAAATGACCAAATTCCACATTGCTAGTCATACTCATCTTGCGTTTTCACATTGATAGTCAGTCTCAGACAAAGAATGATAGAGTGAAAATAAAATGCATAAGAAGAAATTGGAAAATATGAGGAAAGCTTTTATTTCAAGCTTGAAGACTGCAGTTCAGGCCTGTTTGCTGAAATCAGAAACCAACTTATCTGTGTGTATGATTACTTGACCTATTTCTTCAGGGTGTGCAAATTTATTTGTTAAATGTCAAGACAATGTGACTCATTAGACTAGTAATGGAAAAGAAAACTCACCAGTTTCTCTCTTTCTCTCTCTCTGTGTGTGTTTGTGTGTGAGGGTGCTATTTACTCACACGTGATACTCTTGCTGGGTGTTGTAAGCTCCGAGTTTGAAAGGCCACTGTTGCAAATGTCTCCGTCATCACTTAACGACCTTTCTGGGGTGCCATTTAACCTCAATATGAGGGGCTCAGTATAGGTGTGGGCCACATCTACAAAGCAAACACACAAATATATACATACACAGTTAAAAAAACAAAACAAAAAACTATTAGAACAGCCATCTGTGAGATCTGCATTTGTATATATATATATTGTTTGAAGGCCATGATTTGCTAACCCCTGGACTACAGGAACATACCTTAAACTCTCACACTAAGGTTGCATATTTGAAATCTGTTAAAGCTTCAAACACTGTTTGAGGTTTTAGCCAGAGGTATTCACCCAATATGTCCATGAAAATTCTCAGTCATCAGTCGTCCAGGTCATAGTAAGTCCTAGAGGCTTCATTAGTTCAGAACTGATTTTTTTTCAGCCTAACAAGGAAAAGGGAGTGCTTGGTTTGTTGCAAGACATCTCCCTGTTAATGCAAACAGACACCCAGCTTATAAAATCTAAAGTGGAATAAACAGATAATCCACTGATTTATTTAGAATACTTTCTAATATAATTCTATTTTAAAATTGAGTCAGCAATGTGGTTTTAAGGTTTAGTCATCACTATTTTACTTGATAGGTCAACTAAAATTTAACTAATTGTATTTTAGTTTATGAAGTGACATCATATGCAGCTTTAAATATCCCTTAATATAATTTCTCACGCTCAGTTATAGTTGACAGATCAATACTGATTCAATAATGAGAGAGAGAGAATTCAGAAGTTTAGAAATTTTATATAGATTTAAAAAGTGTTACAGCAGCGCAGCAAGCCATAATGTGAAATATTAAATCATCAACAATTTAAATGTTTGATTTGACTTACAATTTCAAAAGTCAATAAAAGTGACTCCTAATCACTTAGTTTAAACTCTCTCCACTGTTAAAAATCATTGTATTGTTGAGCTCTCACATCACCGAATAAAAGTTAAAGAATTTCTTACTGAAGGTTAATTATTAATTGGTGTGTTGGCAATTGTTAGATTTTGTTGAGCAGCGTAATTCCAACACCCTCCCTCTCGGCAGGGACTCTGGTGGACTTCTTGCTGGATTAATGGCTGTTGCTGTGCAGCTCAGATATCCACCATTGCTCCCGGCTCTAGGTAGTGGCACTAAGTTGTCTTCTGAGTCTTCTTTCTTTCCCCCTTGGAGAACAAGGGTGGCCCCCCGAGAGACGAGCTTATGTTGATTTGTCTTCTTGCCTTGCTTCTCTCAGATCTTTTTGACAGTACATTTATGTATAAGGTCATTCAGATGCCCAGTTCTCTTTCCACATCAGTACCAAACCATTGTCCCACTTGCAGTAAACCTGTCTGCTCCCATGTCATTTCCTATTCACCAGAACTTAATTAATTTAAACAGAATACTTCTGCTGACATCAACAAAGCAGAAGGTTGTGCTCTGTCCTGAACTTGCATCTGGAAGCAGTTAAATCCAACCCCTCGTTACCGTTTAGGGGTCTATGGGCATGCTTGTGAAACCTAAAATCTGTGTGGCTCTCTGTGAGCGCATGGGGGTCTATTTGCATTTGACAGTGGTCATATGTGTATGTGTTTTAAATGAGCACATAAAGGGACTACGCATGCAGTAATATTCATACAGTTAATAGTACTGTTAATAATTTCTGATCACATATCCTCTAATGAAGCTCCTATACATGCACATATACATCTTATACACACTGTGCAAAGGCCTTCAAAGTAGGGCAGGCTTGGGCCTCTGAGAAGTGCAGACTCATTCTTGGGCAAATGGGAGCCAGCTGGGTTTGATAAACATGCACACACACACAAACCAAACCACGTCCTGTGCATGGACTCAACACTTCCTGGCTGTTTATTTATTCTATCCACTCTTGCTCACTTCTCTATCTATCCTCTCTTTCCTGTCCCCTGCAGCTCGCAAAGGAATTTTCTTAATCATTCCATTGTGTATCTTTAAAATACTAAAAGGTAAGTCTAATACATTTTAAATTCATGAGCTTGGCATTGGTTTTATTTGTCAGAATATTGTTTCTAATACAGAAAGAGACGACATAAAATACTAACTGATGAAATTCTACAACACTTTCCTCTGCACCTTCTAAAAATTACCACTGAATTTTATGGTAAATATCAGAAAATTTAACAGGAGTGTTTTATTAACTGATAGCTGCCTATTTTGTCCACTGTAACAATAATTGACCAGTGGCAGGTCACCCGTCAAAGGTAAAGCTCGAGCTTACGATTCCGTTACTGTACTGAATTTGTTGTGTGTATCGTGTGTCTGCAACCTACAGGCAGAAAAAGAAACAAAACCTTCATGGCAGTTACAGCTTTGGCAACCAAGAGCTGATGCCTTATTTTCAGAATGACAAACATTACTTTAACTTATTGACAGGCCCTTTTTCTGATGTTGTTTACTTAAAGGAGTTCTATCTTTATTTTCTTCAAGTATATCAAAACTACCGGTCTGAATCACTTGTTTGTGGAAGGTGGTCTAACCCCGATGAAGAGGAACAGTGTCTTCAGCTCTGGAGGATTCGTGTTTGCCTTCTCTTTCATGAGCTTGTATTTGCAGACATTTTTTTGTGTAGGGGGGATTTTTGTGCGTGTGAAGTTGGAGTTGTAAACAGCCCTGAAGGGGTGAGAACACCTTCCTGCTCTTCCGTTCCATTAGACAGTGGCACACAAACGCCACACACACGCCTGTACACAAACACACATGAACAGACCTTTGACTTGACTCGCAACCTCTAACTAACTGACTCCAAACTTGACTCGGACTCATGCACATTAAGCCTTTTAACATTTATAGGAGGAAAACAAAAGAGACTTGAGATTTGACTCTGATTCTAACTTGGACACGTCAGACTGGAATCAGACTTACTTTTAATGACTTGTGAACATTGCTGCCACACACACATACTGTATGTTTGATTCTTACATATGGAATCCATTTTAAAGTGCATGTAGTCTCAATCAGCCTACTTCAGATATGAAAGCCAATGGTGAGAATTGCTGCCCTCGATACTGCCAAATGACTAGTCTGGAGATTTGTATGTATTATAGGTTATGCACAGTATGTCACCAGCATGGAGTGTACTGTTTATGCTTGTCTATTATTATGTCCCCCCCCCATCCATTCTTATTTTGCTTTCTTATTATTCTTTTAGACAACATTTCGTATAGCAGGTTTTCAAAGAAAATCCAAGCAAAATATGTAACTCCATCTACACATTATTTCATAGTCATCTGCATTAAACACATTTTTATAATTATCCACTTGAACATTTGCTTTTAATATTCCCATAATCAATTAATCAAGATCAGTCATTTACCTACGACTGTCAATTATTCTACAGCATTGATTTTTTTTTAACATTAAAGATGGACTTAAAAAATTAATATTTCACGATGTGCTGGCAGGCAACAATGGACTTTAATGATTTTAGATGTCTGCCAGGTTTTTAAAAATGCTGAGATGAGTGCAAATACACTTTATACAAAATGTGTTTTAGGTAGCTTTTTGGTTGTTGTTGTTATACTCATCCTCATTTCAGGCTGTTTTGTTTCAAATGCTAAAAGCTGCATTGTTTTATCATTACCAAAGTCACACGAAAGCAAAGTGTAAGCAAACGCCAGGAAGGGAAAGGCTAGTGTTACTCAGTGTGACTTTACAGCAACCATCTCAAGAAGAATCCATTACAGATTTAACTGCCCTAGCAAGAAAGTGTGACAAAAGTCAAAACATTATCTACCATATACTAACACTGCTGAACAAATGGATGTTAAAATATCTGAATATCTGTATAGCATCTACACATACATACTGAATATATGTTCAATCATCTGGTCAGCTGGACTTACCCATGCTTCAGTACATTAATCGTGCATTCTCATTTTGACTTCTGCTGCTGACGGAGTACTGTGGGTTAAAAGTATAGGTCCTGTGACTTAGCCAGAGCTTCCCCTCTGTAAACATTCAAAACCACGATTGTTGGAGCTAAACGCATCCCCATCAAACCACTAGTGCCATCCAAGCAGACCTTCAACCAATTGTGTGTTGGCATCGGCATCAAACCACCAAACTGCTCGACTTCAGAGTCATTTCTGAGATCTGAGAAAGATGAGCCTCTAATTCAAATCAGACCAGAGCAATCAAGAGCCGCCGAGGAGATCTAGCTGTGTGTTTACACATGTGGGTGAGTATGTGTATTTGTTTGTGCATGTGTATGTGTGTTCATGTATGTTTGTAGTTTGGTGAATGTACACGTGTCAGTGGCCCTGAAGGGGCAAGTCAGAAGAATTTCAGTCTCCTAGTAAACAAACAGTTAACCATTAAAGCAAAAACACGTGGATCACATTGTGTAATAGTTAGGATAAACACACGACACACACACACACACACACACACACACACATTCAGGCTATATGAGCAGACAAATGATGTGACATACAGTATACTGAAGCACCTGAGGGGGAGCACATCCTGCTGTTCCTCTGGGTATGAGATCTGAGAAGGACAGCCAAGAGTTGAGCTAGGTTTAACTGCTGCCTTTCAAACCAGTCTAGCTTCACTAATACTTTTCCAGAAGCAGGGACTTCTTCAGGCGTTCTCTTAGGTCTACACATCCCTTTGACAAAGACAAATAGTACATACAGTATGCACCCTCACCCACTACTAACAGATGTGAGCAAACAGGCATCCAAGGTGTTAATTATATAGTGAAAGAATGTTTTATACTGTCAAGACATTGTCTCTGAGCTGCATTTGGTCATACTTGTCAGTTTGTTGGCAATGTGAGGATTCACTGTCGTTATATAATTGTAATTTGAATATGTTTTGTACTTGCACTGCTGTTAGACAAAACAAGCAAGAATGTAAAGACATTGTCTTGGGATCAGAGAAGCTGTGAAGGCTAGTTTTCAATATTTTCTGACATTTTACAGACTAAGGATATTTATTAAACCTGTTGCGACCTGTGTGAAAAATATTGTGGCACCACTTTTTTTTTTTTATTTACCAGCAACTGATGATGTAAATTAACACAGAATGCACCTCCACTTTGGACTGAGAGG